TTTGTTATTCGAGACAGGGTTTCTCTGTGTAGCTTTGCACCTTTCCTGGATCTGGCTCTGTAGCCCAGGCGGGCCTCAAACTCACAGAGATCCGCCTGCCTCTGCCTCCTGAGTGCTGGGATTAAAGGCGTGCGCCACCACCACCCGGCTCTAAAAAGCATTTTATACAATTGCAGAGAACACCTTGTAGACTTGTAAGCTACAAACTGGACCTGCAGTGGCAATTCTGAGGCATGAACAGCTTTCCATCACAGAAACCAGTAAGAAGGAGATGTTCATCTCTCAAAGCAAAGAGGATCGGCTGTAAACAAATCAGTGGTAAGGTACATTTAAACAACATTCTTGTTGTTGGGGTCAAGCCAATACTTTCTAAAAACTGGATTCCTATTTAGTAGCTCTAATTGTAGACATAAAGCAAGGAGCTCTATCTATGTCCATTCTTTAGTAGGACTACCACTCTTCTGATGAGTGTGGAACCTTACCTAAACTAGATCAAACTTGTCTATGGAAAAATATACTCATCTTCCCCTCTATCCTGTAAATTGCATTTGCAAACTCATTTCAGTGCAGTACTATTTGAATTATCTATATCTAGGCTTAATGACTTTGAGTTGGCCTAAGTTTCCTGTCTTCCCTTCTACTGTTTGTCGATGTGCTGTTTTGCATTCTGAGAGGCTTTACTTGCATAGTTTCTGACATATTGAAGTCTTGTGACCTTCCTCTGGCTCCACTGGATCTGTGTCCAAATGCTCCCTCCTTAACCTTGGTGAACTGTCAATGCATGACTCCTGTTACTTTCGACATGTAAACGACCTGTAGAATGTCTTTCCAGTTTGAGATGGAAGGTACACCAAACTCCGACAACCCCAGTGCAGCCTCAGCCTGGCCACTTGAGCAAAGACTGTGGTGTAGACTCAGACCATGATTGTTGACAGCCCCAGGTAACAGCTAGCACCTGTCACATGGAGTTTACCTGGCAGCTGCTTCATATGACTTGCAGTTTCCATCTGCTTTGTACGTGAGGAAGACTTGTCCTTTTCATTCCCTTTTGAGCAGTTCTCCAGGGAAGCAAGTTTTTCAGCTGCAGCTTTCCTGGCCTCCAGTTTTCTTTGTCGGTCACTCTTGGCCCGCACTGCTAACTTTATCTTCTTCTTCCGAAAAGAGGTCAAAACCTCAATGGACCCATTTCGTATCTTCTCCTCCTGACCTTCAGCACTCCCAAACTCATCCACAGGAGCAAGTATGTACATGGGCAAGACATGGAGCTGCTCATCCTCCGGCTTCACTCCAATTTCCCGATTGTCTTCCCTAGTGAGGGTGCACACCTGATGGGGAGGGAAGGCGTTCCAGGCTCAGTGGCAGGACCAAAACAAAGTGTACATGCTGAGGTTTCTCCCTCCCAGCACCCACATGTGTGCTGGATCAAGGACATGCATACAGATCTGCCTGTCATTAGTGAAGACAATGTACAAATGGAGGACATAGAGCACCTCGCATTTATACTTTTTCAAGTCTATCTATCAGGAATCGCTATGAAGTGGCTATTTGTCATGTACTTCTAGCTAGAACTCAGGGAAGATCTACTTCTTCCAGATGAAATGAAGCAATCTCCTGCTTCCCACATGACATATCATTTTTTTCTTTCAGGAGGTTAACCATGTGACCACTATATGCAATGGGCTGGCAAAGGATGACAATACAACACAGTTCAGCTTCTCTCAGACCTGACTCCTAACCATCCATGTTTTAAAAATTTACTATGCTCAAGAAACTTTACAGCCAGGCAGTGGTGGTACATGACTTTAATCCCAGAACTCAGGAGGCAGGTGGATCTTGGTTAGTTTGAGGCTAGCCTAATCTACAGAGCAAGTTCTAGGACTGGCAAGTCTAACAGAGAAACCTTGTCTTGAACCCTACCCCTACAACAATCCCCAAAAAATAAAAAAAGAAAGAAAAAAAAAAGAAAGAAAAATTTACAAGATGCCAATTGACATAAAAACAACCTGGCCACAGATATAAAAATGAATGTGGGAGATTCCCCCTTAAAAGGAATGTGATCTTTCTAAATGACTAATGTGAGGAATTGTGAAGAATGCTTTCCAAACTTCATGTCTCCAAATACATATCTATCACTACTCAGCTCTCATGGAGAGTGCCTTTCCATCTTGCCTGTAGAACCTGTGATCACTCAAAGGCAGGCTCTCTCACTTCCCACTCCAATCACCTTGCTGGAATGAAGAACAGACGGCATGGCTGAGTTAGTGGGTTTCTTCCACCTTACAGAATATAGTGGTCACAAATGGCTGGGGTTGACCAGGGTGATGAGCAGCTTGTTTTCCTGAATCTAACTAGGGCTGATAGCTCTGCATCAGAGCTTTATATGTTTATAACCAAGGATGTGTTAATCTGTCTTGGCGACTGGAATATGTAGGCATCATCATGAGCTCCTTTGGACTTACTGAGCATGTGTCATGAGCATGACACTGGGTGTCAATTACTTACCACCTTACTATCTCACTGAGCCTAAAATACACTGATTTGCCTGGATAGCTGGATAGCAAGCTTTAGAGATCCTTCTGTCTCTACTTCCTCTATGCTGGAGGAAGTGCTTAGGCATCCTTAGTCACCTGCTACAGCACTGGATTTTTTTTACAAGGCACAGGGGATCCAATTCAGTTCTGTCAGCCTTTCCTAGCTGAACCACTTCCTCAACTGCGCATTACAAACTGTGGTGGCGATAACATGCCGACAGTGATAACATGCTTTTCATTTGTATTTCTCTGCTAGGAGAATCAGTACCTTGTCTTGCACGTGCTAGTGAAGGTGTGAGTGTGTGTTTTATTTTCCCACTTGTTTGGTTATAATTCACTACATACTTAAAGCTGAAATTTAATTTTTTAAGAAGATTTTTAACTGTATGTATGTATGGGTTGTCTATGTGTATGTTAGCATGACTGCAAAAACCAGGAGAATGTACCAAATCCTCTAGACCTGGAGTTAGAGGTGCCTGTGAGCCATGGGTGCTGGGAATGGAACCCAGGTCCTCCACAAGAGCAGCAAACACTTTCAACTACGAAGCTATCTCCCCAGCCCCAATTTTGGTTTTCTTCATAAGTCATTTGAAATAACACTGTACAGACATGATTTAGATTCTTGCTAAGAATGCCCAAGTTCTCGTGTGGTTGTCCACATTTCTCCTAATGTCCCACTCATAAGAGAGAGTGCTAGTAGTGCCCCAGGAAGGTCACTTTGGAAGACAATCAATCCGCATCTGTTCTGAGCCAGCACCACACAACCCGTGCTTTTCACCAGCAGATGTTGCTGGGGTCATAGGGTGCCACTTACCACTGTACAGCCATTCGCCATGTTGTGCAGGTCTCTGTGGGAGTGAGCAGAGAAGTCCACACATGCAGTGACCCCTGAGAATGGTCGGCCTTCCTTCAGACCCAAACGGCACTCGGGAGCTCTGTGTTCAAATTCAACCTGAGAAGAATATGTGTGTGAGTGGGAAGGTACTGGAGACTATTGAGATTATTTGATACTATTTTGCACTTCTATATCTAGAAAATAATGAAATGCCAAAAAAATAGGGCACACAAGTTTCATTTGACAATATTGCTGAGGGAAAATGTGTGTGTGTGTGTGTGTGTGTGTGTGTGTGTGTGTGTGTGTCCAGGCACATGCTTGTGTGATGCCAGGGATCAAACTCAGGGCTTCACATACTGAAGTAAGCACCCTACCACTGACTTACCCTCCCAGGTCCCAAATTTCTTCCTTCCCTTTTCTCCCTCCAACCCCCCACCCTGCTCTTTCAAATTCATGGCCTCCTTTTCCACTAATTGTTTCCACTAATATTCACACACACACACACACACACACACACACACACACACACACACACACACACACAAATTGCATATATTCCTAAATACAACCTGCCCATGAACATGTGTGAAGTGGCATTTATGGAATTCAGTCTAACTTTGATCTAGGTATACCCACATAACCACTGCTAAGAACAAAGTCAGGTCCATTCTCTTCATTCTCTGCAGTCTTTCTGCCAGTCTTGGGGGTTTTCCCTCCTGCTCTCGCTAGACCCACCACAGACAAATGAGGATTGTATCACATTTAAAGTCTTCTACATAGTTAAGCAAACAACCCATGTAAAAAGAAAACTGTATGAGATGGAAGAAAATCTGTGTAGATGATACCTCTGATTATGGTTACTTTCCAAAATGTCTAAGATTGCTTTTCAAATAAAAATTCTCTCACTTCATCCTTTCTCACCTCCAACACACACTCAAAAAGTAGAATGATGGATCCTATAGGCTGATATCACATGTAAATTTTTTTTTTTTTTTTTTTTTTTGGTTTTTTGAGACAGGGTTTCTCTGTGTAGCTTTGCGCCTTTTCCTGGAACTCACTTGGTAGTCCAGGCTGGCCTCGAACTCACAGAGATCCGCCTGCCTCTGCCTCCCGGGTGCTGGGATTAAAGGCCTGTGCCACCACCACCCGGCCCTATGTAAAATTTGTACCAGATACTTAGGAACAGCTTTATCTCTGTGTACATCCCTTCCTAGCTTTTATTATGTGACAGTTGCTGTTTGTGTTTTATATTTGCTTTTTACTTTATTTCTAAACATGTAGAAATCACACTGATCTCTTGATGCCTCTGTGTGGTTATATTATAAACAGTGAGCTCATTGGATGATTTTGTTGTGGGAATCAATCTGGAGCAATTTCTGACCTCATCACCTCACTAACTAGTGAGCCTAGTACTTGTGAAGTAAGCAAATCCACAATGCCTAGCAAAAATCTGACATCTGGACCCATGTGTAATAAATGTAAAACACATTTTTGAGTCATAAAGATAATCTTGTGAAAATAGACTGCATAGTCAGGGTCACATGATTTAAATATATTCAACAAAATCTTCACATAGAGATAAATTAGTAGATAAAACATCAGTTAGGGCCTGGCAGTGGTGGCGCACGCCTTTAATTCCAGCACCCGGGAGGCAGAGGCAGGCGGATCTCTGTGAGTTCGAGGCCAGCCTGGTCTCCAAAGCGAGTTCCAGGAAAGGTGCAAAGCTACACAAAGAAACCCTGTCTCGAAAAACCAAAACAAACAAACATCAGTTAGGACTAAAAACTTGGTTTTTAAGGCCAAAAACACCAAGAGTATACATTTTGATGGCAAAATTCATATACTAGGAACAATTCTACAAGTAGTTTTAATAATTAAGAGAACGAGTTGGGCTGCAGAGACAGATCAGCTGTTAAGAGCACTTGCTGTTCTTGCAGAGACCCTACACCCACATAGTGGTTTAGAGTTGTCTATCCATTATAACTCTGGTTCCAGGGGACCGTGTTTGTGTGTGTGTGTGTGTGTGTGTGTGTGTGTGTGTGTGTGTGTGTGTGTGTGTGTGTATTTTCTTCTATATGTATATTATATGCTGGGTAGCACTCATATACATTAAGAAAAGGAAAAGTGGCCGGGCAGTGGTAGATCACACCTTTAATTCCAGCACTCAGGAGGCAGAGGCAGGCGGATCTCTGTGAGTTCGAGGCCATCCTGGTCTACAAAGTGAGTTCTAGGAAAGGCACAAAGCTACACAGAGAAACCCTGTCTTGAAAACAAACAAACAAAAAAATACTTCTGGACTGGATAGGTTATGAATAGTGAACAAATATTAGACTCATCAATAATCACTTAAACTTACCTGATTATTGTATGCATCAGGTGCCATTCTTTTGTATATTGGAGCAAGTAAAGTAGCCAGGTTTTGAAAATGTGATTCTAGTTTCTCTTCCTGTACAAAATGATTCAACAAGTTAAACATGGATATATAAACCTGTGTGTGCATTTAGACACAAGGCATTCAGTTGTATTATTTCCAAGTGTAGTGCTTTTCTTTATATATCCTAAAATATGACTGCTTCTAATAACATTGCTACATCCTCAATACTCCATGCTCACAAAGAAAAGTCTTTTAGATAGGCTTTCTGAAGCGGCATGTGTTAATGTTAATACTCTGACGGTAAATTCCCACTGCCATTCTGACAAGATGGGTCTCCCTGTGTAGCCATGGCTGTCCTGACATCACTCCACAAGCCAAGCTGGCCTCCTAATCACAGAGGTCTGCCTGCCTCTGGGCTGCTGGCATTAAAGGTGTGCCCCACCACTCGAGGCACATTCTCACTTAAAATCACTAATGTTAAACACAATTTTGGGAAGCTGGAGAGATAACTCAGCTGTTAAGACACTCGCTGCTCTTCTAGAGGACCCCAAACTTGGTTCTTCTCACCTATTTCAGGGCAGCTCACAACCACCTGGAACTCAGTTTCAGGTGATCACATGCCTTCTTCTAGCCTCCACGGGCACCTTCATGTATGTGGTACATATACATTCACATCAATAATTATGCTTCCCACCTCATGCCCTGTGTGAGTGCACACACAAATGACACGTACATCAGGAGATGCAAACTTTGGTAGGTGAACAGATAGCTGTACCGCATTCCTGCCTGAGAAAATATCCTTTGAGAATACTTAAGCCATTTATCTTTATTTAATATTATAGCTGCAGATAACATTTCCCCTTTAGAGGAATATATTGAATTTATTAACCATATGTGTATTTAACTATACTTAAGATTCAATAGTTATAGTGTATGGAATGAAATAATATACAAACGCTGAATATATTGAGGTTTTTGTTCAGTTGGCAAACTTACATGCAGACTCAAATGTTCTTACATCCTACAATTTACAAATTATGTTTTTCAAAGAATCTGTATTTTTAAGAGATTAAAAAATGTGATGGCTTCAATAAGAAAGCAATGTTCATATTATTTTTAAGTGGAACATGTAGGCTAAAATTGACCTCTTCTAGTTGCTCAAACACATTCACTACAGTAACTTAAATCTTGTGGCTAAATATTATAAACATGACTTCCATAATTCAGACATGGAAAAGAATGACATCGCAAATCCTAATTTAGTTTCCTTTAAAATGTCTTCCTTATGTTAAAAAATAGTATTTACATATATATAATCTATAAAGCCACAATATTTTTGTCCTTGTTTGCAACATGATTCACATTGTCACAGCAATTCCCAATATCACAGAGCTTCAGGCAGGACAAATTTTAGTATGCAAATAATTCTTATCTGGTCTAAGATATTAATTATAGGCATTTTTTTGTCCAAATACTCTATGAAATATGGTAATGTTAATGGAACCTCATCATTATACATACTAAATAGTGTAAATTTACATAGAGAACTCAAAATGCTATAAACATCAGAATCTATTATTGCCTAAACTGGGTATGGTGGTGCACACCTTTAATCCCAGCACTCAGGAGGCAGATTTCTGAGTTCAAGAAGAGTAGCCTGATCTACAGAGTGAGTTCCAGGGCAGCCAGGGCTACACAGAAAAACTTTTATTGAAAAAAAAATTACTGTATTACAGACTTTTTTTTACACAGAGCCAATTCTTTAGTCCAGCCTAGCCTAACCTAATTTAGTTATCACATGGCTGTTCTATAAAGGCTGGTTAGTTTTGTCAGCTTGACACAACCTAGAGTCATTCTGGAAGAGGCAACTTCAATTAAGAAAATGCCTTCTTGTGGGCAGGCCTGTGGTGCATATTCTTGATTGATGATTGATTGGGGAGGGCCCAGCTCAATGTGGGCAGTGCTACCTCTGGTCCAGGGTGCTATAAGAAAGCGACCCAAATCAAGCCATAGGGATCAAGCAAACAGCACTCATTGATGGCCTCTGCAATGGTTCTGTGCCTCTGAATTCCTTCTCTAATCTCCTTATATAATGACAATACAAGCTTTAAGGTGAAATAAATCTCTCCTCCCTAAGGTGATCTGTCATGGTGTTTTTAATCCCAGCAGTAGAAACCCTGGCTAAGACAACCCACAGGGAGGAATAATTTATGGTGCTATGCATAGTTATGTTAAATTTATAAAATATTTTGTACTTATGGTTTAGCCAGAATTTGTAGGTTCATCTGAGATGAAATTCCTTCTGTTAATGAGAGTATGACAGGTCATCCATGCTCATTAATTCTATATGAAAAATAGGTTATATATTAGGAAACAAACCAACCTCTTTTGGATAATCTCCAAGTAGCTTAAATTTCCTTGGGTTCTTGCTTCTGGCATACTTACATCCATTATAGTACATGCTCCAAGAACAACCAAAAGAAAAGGAGGCACCACAGGTTTCTGGATCCAAGCCCTGACAAGCACAGTTTCTCCTGAGATCAAAGCACAAAATGCAAGATTATAGGTACACTACACTGTCTCCTCAGGAAGGACATCTAGCACTTTAGTCTCTGACAAACTCCACCATTATCTTTTGTGTTACTGAGGCATTCTCATGTCTTAAGGAGATGGGGATTCATTCTTTCTTTCTTTCTCTTTTTCTTTCTTTCTTTCTTTCTTTCTTTCTTTCTTTCTTTCTTTCTTCCTTCCTTCCTTCCTTCCTTCCTTCCTTTCTTTCTTTCTTTCTTTCTTTCTTTCTTTCTTTCTTTCTTTCTTCCTTCCTTCCTTCCTTCCTTCCTTCCTTCCTTCCTTCCTTCCTTCCTTCCTTCCTTCCTTCCTTCCTTCCTTCCTTCCT